TGTGTGTGTGTGTGTGTGTGTGTAATACTACTTATTACTATAAAACTGCTTCACAGATGCACTCTATTACTTGGATACATCCTCAACCATGTGAGTTAAGCTCACTGGAAAATGTGTGTGTGTGTGTGTGTGTATAATACTATTTATTACTGTAAGATTTTTTTTGTTCTCAGAATTGGACTTTAAATTCAAGGCTTTATGCTTGCTTATAAAGTGCTCCTCCACTTGAACCACGTCCCCAGCTCTTTTCTACGTTTTAGTTATTTTTCAAGTAGGGTTCCATGTTTCTGCCTGGGGCTGGCTTCATACTGATATCCTCCTATCTCCACCACCTGAGTAGCTAGGATGATACCCACTTGGCCAGAACTTCATATTTTTTTCAATGAGTATTCTATCTGTACATTATTATCTTATCAGCACTTTTCCCTATCTTATTTGACAAACCATATCTTTAAACCATATTCTATAGTGTTACAGCTTCTATGGAAAATGCTATTCGGAATCCTCTTAAGGCATATGGAAAGCAATTTTCTGTTCATAAAGCCTGTAGGCACTCACTTTTCTCAAACGAAGGAGTCACAGGCCCACTAGTGCTTGTGTTTGCTACTGGTTCCGTTGATGGACAGTGTAAATCACCATTTCCCATGGAGCAAGAGCAGCAACCTATACAGATAAAATAATGTGAAGGTGGATCTCAACCACATAGAAATGGACAAGTTCAAAAGATGCCAGACAGACAAAACTAAAAAAATGAGTCCCACTCATACAGCCTCCATGGAAATGTTTCCACATGATAACTATCAAGAAATAGCCAAATCTGCCTATACAAAAGTTTACAGTTAAATAGTTCAGGCAATGATCAGTTCCTTTACACATTGTCTCCTCACTGCACGAGACAAGGAAAAATACTTTTATACATGCTGTTTCACTTCCACTGTGCTTTGAGAACTAAGAATTCAAACATTTTCCTAAAACATTTTATCAGTCCTCAAAAAAATACACATCAATGCACTAATGATTACTGTGGAAAATTCAAACTTGCTGGCCGAAATCTGAAAGCTCTCATTCTGTGACTTGGCCTCTCTCCCTACCTGTGTGCCCAGACCTTTTATTCAATGAAAAGCCTTCTCTTCTTTCAAGACAATTCTTTCGAGTCCTCAACAAGCCTCATCTGTGCCTGGGCTGATCAAATCCTCTCCTTTAAGTGCAGTTCACAATTCACTTCTTTCAAGAGCCTGTATCCTATTAGTATAGAAGATTCACTAAAAACAATTATATACTTTTTTCTTTTCAAATATATACTGTTGAAAATGTCTTGCTGGTTTATAGCCAGAGGGTTTACAGAAGTCACACTGAGACATCTGCTATAGAGCTGTATTTTTTCCTCTACATAGTCAGAGAAGTGCATGAAGGACCCTTTAAAACATCTCACACTTACATAGATATGGGTTATAATAGAATAATAACTTCAATGATGAACTTAAAATTTAATATGCTAGAAAAATGAATCATTCTTAGGCTTGACCTTTTATTGATAACATGCTAAAATTATGCAGTGATAGTCTCAAAAACAGAAAGGATTTCAAAGTATAAAATTAAAATAAACTATTACAAATGTTTTTCTAAATTTTAGATAAAGATTCCATTCCAAGGTTATTATAGAATCACAGAATAACAGAAAAGAAAATAGATTATCTGACCTAGCCCTCCTAAGAGACTTGATGCTGAAATCAGCTAAGATAAAATTAAGAAAACACATATATAAGCCCATCCCAATGCCATATGTGTACACATACACACATGTGTGTATGCATGTACACACACACACACACACACTTGAACACAAGCACACACTGCTATCATAAGATATTATGATAGGTTCTCCCTGACACAAATGGTTTATTTGTTTTTTTTTTTTTGGTCCGGTCGTGGGGCCTGAATGCTGGGCCTGGGTGCTGTCCCTCAGCTCTTCAGCTCAAGGCTAGCGCTCTACCACTTGAGCCACAGCATCACTTCCGGCTTTTTTGTTATGTGGTGCTGAGGAATCGAACCCAGGGCCTCAGGCATGCAAGGCAAGCGCTCTACCACTGAGCCACCTTCCCGGCCCGACACATAGGGTTTATAAATAACTTATCAGTCTTCTCTTTACCAACAAAACCACCGATCTCATATTAAAATAGGCTTATTTTCCTTTCCAATCCTACTTCCACAGTAATAACACGAATTATAGGTCTCTCACAAATGTGTAGAAAGGAACAGAGGTAAATGAACCTTTTCAATGACCAAGATTAGAGAAAGCCAGGATGGGCACCTAAGTACAGTATTATGTGTTAATACCACTAGTAAAACAGAAGATCAGCAATTAGGAAAGAGAATAACCATAACCAGACAAGGTTTAAAAACTATTTTTACCAGAAGCACCAGTGAATAATCAAATAAATAAGCATTTTGAAATAGCAGTTTCCAAGGCTACTTCAGAAAATCATATAACTTATCCACCCATCCATCTACTTAACAAATGTCAGTAAGTATACTTAGGTCCTGAGGCTACAATTAACAAGTTAAGACCCCTTACAGTCTACTGGGTTATACAAACAACTTAAAAAAGCAGTTAGAATACAGTGAGATAAGAGAAGTAAGTAAGTTAGGTACAGGTGGCTCATGCTTGTAATCCTAGCTACTCAGGAGGCTGAGATATGAGGATCATGGTTCAAAACCAGCCTGGGCAGGAAAGTCCCTGAGAAGGACCAGGTACATACTCAATAAATCTCTTGGATGATAAATAAAAAATAAATTAAAAACAGAAGCAAGTAAAAACTTGGCAGAAGGTTTCTTGTGTAGATAAGGGATAGCTAGCTGTCTTCTGGCTCTCCATTTACTTATACTATGGGTTTAAATTCATTTTCTTGCTAGAGATGGTAGTGACAGGATTTAAATTCTATTATGTAATTTATTTGCTGTTTTTAAAAGATGGGTGAAGAGATCTCAGCAGAAGTCTCTGATGATCCTTGTTTAGTGCTTCCTACAGGCTTGCGGTAGCCAGTTCCATGTGGAAAAGGATGACATGGAGAGCCAGCTAGAGGTGGTAGTCTTCAAGCCCAACCCCAAATCAAACAGTAAGCTGTTTACAGGATAAATATGAGAGTCTGCAATGAAAGTTAGGAAGAGAAAGATGTTGGACGTGATCAGAGAAGTAGTGTAGACTTAGGGAAAGCCGCTTTAAATTTTTCAGTGGAAGGATCAGGGGGGTGTAAACTCCCCTAGCAAGCACTGAGGTCTTGGGTTTAACTTCTAATATTACTAAATGATATAATCCCTGAGCTCAGTTTTGAAAAGGAAAACAGTCAAGAAGCTCAAAAGAATGAAATTCTGATGACAACATTAGAAATGAGCTAACAGAGAAATCAGTAAACTTGGATTTAGAGTGAAATAAAGAAAGGTGTGAGTGACAGTCTGGGGCCAAGCATAGAGGGTTCAGTAATGCAGACAGGAGAGAGCTGGAGAGGGGAGGGGGAAAATTAGGGTCAGAGCAAGGCATGGCTGGGTTAAGGAATGTCTTAGAACTTACCAAAAGATTATACTCATAAATAGATTTATAAAGAAAATTTAACAAATAAATGTTATGACCATGATTCAAGTGCATATGAGAATACCTATGATATTCAGAAAAATTCAGAAATGTCCTTTACATAAAACTCTTATGATACATACTGTAAAGACAGGGCCAAGTCTTTAAAAAAAAGTAAAGATCATACTTGTTTCTGGGATAGAACTTGTGAAAAGTTCTGGTGCATTTGCTGGTGTTGAACTCTCCTCAAAAGCAGTGTTTCCAGGATCCACTGGCTTATGGCTCTGTTGCTGGCCAAAGCCTTCATAGTGTCCAGCTTGAGTGGTGCGGTTCATGCACATGAGTGACACACCCGCCATCAGGATGCTGCAGAATAGGGTGACTGCTGTGGTGATCATCTGCCGGCATTTGGAAATGATGTTAGGTTTCATTGTTTTTTTTTTCTCACAATCCCATCATGTTGCTAATCTCTGAGTATAGTAAGTATATTTTTTGTTTGTGTTGTGTGTGTGTGTGTGTGTGTGTGTCTGAGATCTGTACTCGAACTCAGTATCTGATGTTTTCACTCACTGCCTGAGCCATGTCACCAACCCCAAGAATATTTTTGACAGAAAAGAAATTGGCATAGCTTCAAATATAACAGTGGGTCTTAAAATTGGACAAGATGAAAGGAATGTAAATTACTTACAAAGAAATTAGGGCTTACTTGTACTCATACATTTTTCTAAAAGCTTTGCTGAACAAAAATTGGTTAGTGTCACAGCCATTGGTTTCTTTTATTAGTGATGAGAATGAATATTTGTAGACCTTTTCTTGACTGCTAAGATTTTGCAAGTCATTCAAGCATACTTCAACTAGAAGCTTCTATATGGTAATGATAGTAAAAATAAGGCATTATAGCTAGCATTTATTAGAACTAATGAGAAGCTAGCACTAATGTAAATCTTTGTCACAAAAATAGAATTAAATTCAAAATTGCAAGGCAGAGAAAAAGGGTAAGAAATCAAAGTCATTGGAAGAGGTTTTTGAAAAACACATATCCTTTGATCATATTTTAAAGAATTCAGCAGGTCCTGTAGACAGTATGTCTACCTTAACGTTATTCTAATACACTTCAGATACATTTTTTTCTGAACTTTATAATTCTAAAAAGATTAAAAGTCAAGAATTTGACATTTACCATTCTTGCTTACTCATTAAGTTGCCTTAAATCAACAGGTCTTCTCTCCGGTAAGGGAAACATAAATGTTTTAAAGAAAAATCCATTAAGTTTCAAGCATTTAGAAATTCTCAGCTAAAAATACCTAGACATGTCAAATGGTCAGCATATTTTGGGGTGTGACAAAGGGATATAGGATCACTAGTGTGCTATACACGAAATTAGATTTTTTTCAAAGTTCACTTTAAGTATAGGAAGGTACATTAGCAAGCTAGAAAGAGACATTCTCAAGAACATAACTGCCAATAAACTCCTCCCACCTGCTCTTTTCCATAAAAGAAGGCTGAGTCAATGCTATCTCCATTGTGTTTCCCAGTTATCAAAAGCACACCAACAAGGAGAGCAGGAATTCTATAATAACAAGGGTGATTGAGAGAAAAGAGAGAATGAATGGCAATTTTGTATAAGTATGGAAACATGAGTGAACATAGAGAAAACCACCAACTTACCCCCAGCCAGATATTATGATGATTCCAACAGGAATTTCAATGCTCTCTCGTTTTTTCAAAAGAAATAAAGAAATTGCCAGAAGGCCTAAAAATAAGAAACAAAGATGGAAAGAAAGTAACTAGGATTATAGGATTATAAGTGTGAGCCAGCAGAACCCAGTTCACTCTCCATCTCCCTCTCCCTCTCTCCTTCCTGCCACCTTATTTCAGCATTAAGTATAGACTTGCCCAAAACTTTCCTTTTGCTAAATAAATACTGTCGCAAATATTTTGGAGCAAGTTTCCCCAGTTTAAAACCATCATGTATCCATTTCTGTATTGCTTCTTTACTCAAATTGTGTTTCGTCAAAGAAGTTTTTTTTCAGAAGCTCTGATTATTTTATTCGTTTGACTAGTAATAAATTAAGTATAATTAAAAACATTTAAACTATGTAAGGTAGATGCAGGGGAAAATTCCAATTGTGCAACTCCCTTGAACAATGCAATCATAATATTTAATGTATATATGTAAAAATGCAACCAGGTAAATTGAGGGGATGAGTGGTGTTGGAAAGATGGGTGACATTAATCAAGATGTACTATACTCACAAAATGACATGTTGAATTGAAACCCATGTGCAACTACTTGAAAATCATATAAAAGAAAAAGAAAAAATTTAACTACAAATAGAAGCATTCTACGAAGATTCCATTCTACTGGTGCTAAGAATTTCTAGCAGGGGCTGGGAAGGTGGCTCAGTGGTAGAGCGCTTGCCTTGCATGCATGAGGCCCTGGGTTCGATTCCTTAGCACCACATAAGCAAAAAGAAAAAAGCCCGAAGTGGCACTGTGGCTCAAGTGGTAGAGCGCTAGCCTTGAGCTGAAGAGCTGAGGGATAGCGCCCAGGCCCAGAGTTCAGGCCCCACAACCGGACCCCCCCCACCAAAAAAAAGAAAGAAATTCTAGCAATCCTCCCTCTCCTCTCCCTCCTCCTCTACCTCCCTCTTCTTTTTCTCCTTCTCCTCTTTCTTTGTCATCTTTTTTTTTTTTTTGGCCAGTCTTGGAGTTTGAACTCAGAGCCTGAGTGCTGTCCCTGAGTTTTTGTGCTCTAGGCTAGTGCTTTACCACCTAAGCCACAGCTCCACTTCCAGGGTTTTTGGTGTTTCATTGGAGATAAGAGTCTCACAGACTCCTGCCCAAGCTTGGCTTCAAACAGAAATCCTTAGATCTCAGCATCCTGAGTAGCTAGGATTACAAGGGTGAGCCACTAGAGCCTGGCTACAGGTTGTATTTTTAGAAAATGCCTCAAGTGTAGTATAGTGATGGAGCTTAATATAAACATGATGTAAGTGTAACACACATATCAGTGTTTTTAAATTCTTGAACTTTCCTTATACCTTATACTCAATAATTTATACAAGTGACACCTTATTTAATACATTCTACAGAACTATATGGAAGGGGCCATGTTTCAAATTAACAAATTAACATATTTTCGTTGATAAGGCAACAAGGGTTTGCCCAAGTCATATAACCAGCAGAGGGCATTGCTGGTCTAGAAACCTAGCCTGACACAGGGGACGTGCTTCAGCTCAATTTTTCTCAAACTCAGATCTGGGATCCCTGGGGGTCCTAAGCTCTATTCTTCAATTTATGTAAATAGATTTAAATCTCAGAAGCCTGTTTGTGGTGTGTGTGTGCTCACCTAATAGCCTGGTGATTTCAGAGCTTACATTTGGCTTTCTAATAAATTTGAGTAGGGAAAGCTAAATGATATTCTAACACACAAATACAAGTTCTGCGGTAGTCTGAAGAAAGAAAAGTAGTAATACACCACATCAAAACTCTTTATATGAGGTAAAGACAAGTCAAACTAAAAACCAAGGAAGTGAATTCCATTTTACATTTCAAGCTATGAGGTATATTAAGAAAAGAAGAGGGCTGAGGGATAGCCCAGGCCCAGAGTTCAGGCCCCACGACCGGACCCCAAAAAAAAGAAAAAGAAAAGAAGAGCCTTTGTTATGTTTATTAACACTGCTACTTAAAATTACTGGGCTAGCAACTTCATTTAAATATAACCGATGAATGGATGTTTTTATAAACAATTCATACCTAGATTTCAGATTGTACAGATTAAATAACACTATGCTAGAATTAACATAAATCAATGTACAAGGTCATCTCACTTTCTAGTGTTAGGTCTTCAAAGTATCAGAGAAACAAATGACAGAGCACAAATGTGGGCCAACTATGTTACAATCATTAGGGCACTCTTCAGGATTCTACTGATTATCATTCCTGCCTTGTGAAGAGAACCAAATACTATTAGGCAGACTCTAGTCCTACATCTCGTGGAAGTAGCTGTGTGGTCTCCTGCTTAAATCTGTTTAACAAACATGGTATTTTTGGACTAGCTATACATTTAATGTGCATTTGAAAAAATTCTAATTAATATGTGAAACCTGTACTTCACTGACATAGACTCCATGATTGAAGTTTAAGAACTAGGTCAACTTTAAGAAAACTATACAAGTGGTATGCAGATAGGGCAAAAATTGGGTGAAAGGTTTTCAAATGAGTAAAGTTAAAAATGAGTGCACATGCAATTTTAAAATATGCTTTTGAGCCTATGCTTCTGCTGTACTATAGTATTCTGAAGGTTACAGGGAGGCTTCATTGGGGTCAAGGGATTCAGAACAACTTTGAATAGATTTTAGTGTGCATGTTTGAACAGGGTTTGGGGCAAGCTGGGGCTTTTGATAATTGATCTATTTACTGTTCTATTACTCTTGTGGTATATTTTATCTGAACAAACTTAGGTATTAGAGATCAACTTGGGCCATATATATTTGGAATGATAATCTCTAGGTTCTTTTAATTTGCCATCCCATAAGAACTCTTATACTTGCCTGTAAAAAGCACAAAGAAAGCTAAGTGCCAGTGGCTCATATCTGTAATCCTAGCTACTTATGAGGCTGCGATTTGAGGATCTTGGTTCAAAGCCTGCCCAAGCAGAAAAGTCTGTGAGACTCTTATCTCCAATTAACCACCTAAGAGCCAAAAGTAGAGCTGTGGCTTAAGTGATAAAATGCTAGCCTTGGAGCAACCAGGTCCCATGACTATTACACATACACACATACACATACACAGCATCATTGGCTTGCACTAAATTTTCATCTGTGATTCCTCATCATATTGTTGCCTCACAGCAAAAGGCTGTTGACCAAGATGGGACTGAAGACATGAAATCAGAGGTTTGCCTTTGGTAGCTACGTCTAGACACTAGCCTCCTAAGCATTCTACAATGTCCCTTTCTGCAATATTTTACAGGTTTAAATTTGTGGTATGAATACAAAATAACCAGACAGAATTTTTCACAAACATACCATAATGTCTGCATTGAAATATGCTTTATTTCAAAATAAAAGGAGTTAAAACATTTTGAATACACATTCTCATTGGGTCCTCTCCTATTTCCAGAACCTTTTGTTTTTTCTACTTTGCTTGTTCTCAAATTACATTCCCCTCAGTTTATTAACGAATACAGTACCACTTGCTGAGTGCTACCATGCACCAGACATAAATCCCCATACTTCATTTTACCTTTAAAATAACACTATATAGTACTGTAATTCTATTTTATAGGTAAGGAAACTGAAGCCCTACAAGGTAGTTTGTATAAGGCAAAGCAACAGTTTTCCAGTTTTGTAGGATTTTAGTGGTGAGCTCTGGAAAATACCTCCTATGCTTCTGCCTACTCTTGCCTTTCTTCACCTGCCTTCAGCACTTATCTTCTTAGTGCCTCCAAAAGGGAGCTGTGCTGAGAGTAGACTAGAGCTGATGACCGCAAGGAAAGGACTATGTGGCTGGAAGGGCTGTGAGCCCTGGCAGAAATAGAGCACTCAGGAAACAGAACTCAGCTTTGCAGGCATAATGGCCTGAGTGAAAACTTTGACCCTGTACTATTTGATTTCAAATAGGTCACTAGAATCTGAGACCTTCTAGAGGTGAGAGAGGGGAGAATAGATTTTAGTATTTCATTCATGATCCAACTTACCTGTCCACAGGTAGGTGCTATACAGGGAGCTGTACAATAGAACAAACACCAAAATTTGTCCAACAAAATTTTTTTCCTTAACAAAATTCCATATCATCATTCCAGCACAGACAATGGACTAGAGAAAAAATTATTAAAAGACTTTGTAAATAGCTAATACAATCATATAATGCATTAACAAAAGTAACTTTTAAGCTAGTCATAAAAATTTTATTCACAGAAAATATTACAAACCAGTTATACTAAAATTACATAAAAGTATGTATTCAATAAAAGCAGATAATGACTATATCCTAAATATCAACTTTATATTTAGTAATGGTTTACATAGAAATTGCTAAGCTTCTTTTTGTTATGATTTGAAAGATGTAAAGATTTAACTAGAAAAATAAGATTGAGTTCAGTTTTTGATTAAAAATGCAATTTTTATGAAAATGCAATGATTATCAATTTCCATTATTAGCCTTCTTATTATTTAAGACTTACTGCAGTATTTAATTTACCGGTCAAAAGCAGATTATAATCAGAGTATAATTGTATGTATATTTTTCCAATTTTATAACTGAAAAAAACATTTCAAAGGAATTTTCTCCTGTTCAGTGGAATAGTTTCCCTGTAAAACATAGTCCCATAGGTTTAAAAACATCTACAGGTATACTAACCTGAGCAATGAGCAAATTAGTAGTAAGCATATGAGGAAGCTGTTTATATTTCTTACTCAAGAGAAGAATAGCCAGAGACCAGATCTTAAAGATAAAAGGTTCAAAAGTTATTGCTGCTTCTGAATCTTTATAATTATTCTTAACTACACATTAATTAACACTATTTTATCTAGAGGTACTCGATCAAACCCAGGGCCTCCTGCATGCTAAGCAAGGGCTTGGAGCTATATCTGCAGCCTTACGACTATATCCTTAAAGAATCTTCTTTATTTTACTTCAGAAAGAAATTCTATTGTGTTATTTATTTTAACCTATATTAAAAGAAACATTCCAAAAGAATGTTGAAGTAGGGCTGGGAAGTTAGCTCAGTGGTAGAGTGCTTGCCTTGAATGCATGAGGCCCTGGGTTCGATTCCTCAGCACCACATAAGCATTCACAATTTATATAAGATATGTTGCTTAATTCCAGAATCTTTGGAGCTAGTGTAGTTATCTCTATATTATGATTTTCAAGTTTCATTCTATTGTAGTATGAAACTGTTTCATATGAACTCTGTACTTCTTTCTTTGTATTTTGACCCAAATGTAGTTTATCTCAGAAAATGTAATTCGGTATGAAATAAACTTATATTCAACTAAAAAAAAAAAAGCAGAAAAAGCTGGAAGTGGTGCTGTGGCTCAAGTGGTAGAGTGCTAGTCTTGAGCTGAAGAGCTGAGGGACAGCGCCCAGGCCCAGAGTTCAGCCCCTACGGCCGACAAAAAAAGAAAGGAAAAAAAAAGAATGTTGAAGTAAATTATCTATCCAAAGTAAAATAAAAAAGCATGAGGAGATACCATGGTAAACTAACTGTCCAAAAATTACAAGTCTTTAAGAACTAATACCTTACCAGGATTATGTTCATAATATGTGTCTATGTGTACTTTTAGTGGCTAGACTGGGACAAAGGATCACGGCCAATTAGTCAGGAAAGGAATCTTAGTGGGAGATGTAGCTATAATACACTATTCTAAATTTTTCCTCTTTTGGTTTCTACCATAGTGGTTGATGAGGAATCCAAATTCTAGGTTATCTTACTTCAAAATACTAAAAGCAATCTTTCACATTTCTCAAAAGGATTGGTATACACTCTCTGTCTCTCTCTTTCTTGCTCTCTCTCAGTCATGCATGCTAAACAAATGCTCTATTACTCTACTGCTCAGCTATACTCCAGTCTCCAGGAATAGCCATGTAATTATGCTAGTCAAATTTCTTCTTTTTCCCTGCACTGCTAATAGAAGTCTGTACTGTTTCTCCCCACATTTCTCCTTATCAGTGGACATATATTCTTTTTTTGGGGGGGGTCTGGTTGTGGGGCCTGAACTCTGGGCCTGGGCGCTGTCCCTCAGCTCTTCAGCTCAAGGCTAGCACTCTACCACTTGAGCCACAGTACCACTTCCGGCTTTTTTCTTTTGGCTTATGTGGTGCTGAGGAATCGAACCCAGGGCCTCATGCATGCAAGAAAAATGCTCTTCCACTGAGCCACCTTCCCAGCCCATCAGTGGACATATATTCTTAAGAATATGTGACACACATATTGAAAATTTTCACTGAGTGTTGAATTTTTCACTAATTGTGCATTTATTGTTGACAATATGCACATTCCTTCCCATCTCCTTTCATTTAACATTAAATATTGTCCTTTTCCCATCCAGAATACTGCTTGAATTCAATAGGCAATTTGATCTATAAGAAGACCTAGTTGCTAAATGCTTGATTTCAGTTAGACATATCTAATTAGAGAAGTTACTAAAAGTTTAATTAGTATTAAATATGTAGTTGAACATCATTCCAAAGATTTCTCCTGAGATCTACATGATCACCAACAGCTAACAATGGTATCGTGATTCAGAGTTAATCAAATATCATATCATATGGACAAGCTTTAGTTTTCTGTATCTCATAAGAAGTTAGAGGCTTGAACTCAGGGCCATGGTTGCTGTCCCTGAGCTTTTGTGCTCAAGGATAGTGCTCTGTCACTTTGAGAAACAGCTCTAGTTCTGGCTTTTTGTGATTAATTGAAGATAAAAGTCTTATAGACTTGCCTGTTGGAGCTGACTTTGCACCAGATCTCAGCCTCCTGAGTAGCTAGGATTACAGGCATGAGTCACCAGTGCATGGCTGATTTTTCCACATTTTTATTAGAGGGTTTTACAAAAGGGTTTAATTTTGACACGTCTATATATGTATACAATATATCTTGATCAGGCTTACCTCCTTCATCACTCTTCCTTATCCCTTTCCCTCCTTCCAAAACTAATTTCAATTGTTCAATCTTCTAATTCCTCATGGTTCTATCTTTACACAAGTACATAAAGTATTTTGATTGTATTTGCTCTTGTTTGCCCTGTTTGTCCTCTCCCCTCCCACTCGTACCCACATCCCAGACAGGACCTGAAAAACTAGATTTTAAATCTTTATCAATTATCAGTCATTCTCAGACTCATTCTGTGGTTTCCATTAAATTTTAAGTGGAAATATACTCACCAAGGAGACCAAGCTGATAATACTTATGTCAAAACTGACATTCTGGATGGCATATGCCAGTGGCTTAGGGTCCATAGTGGGAAAGGTCAGTAACCAAGCAGAAACATACATGATTGGAGCAGACACCAGTGTGCTTATTACCATCCCTGAAGTTATCTGTGAAAAATGAGACCAAACTGAGGAGTCACACTTTCACTTACACAATCACCTTAAACTTAAATGCCTGCCATATACTCTGACAAGACATTATAGAATCCAGCATATTGTCTAATATTTCTCCTTTCTGAAAATCCTTAAAAGAATCTGCAGTAAGTTTTCCTCTTCTAATTGATGCTCCACATTTATTTACACATAAGAAACACATTAGAAGTGTCACTATTGATAATCATCTTCTAGGCTATAGAAAGTATAGATCTGATTAAACTTACGAACAATTTCCTTTCATACCACTTCATAAAATATAGGGCAAAAAAAGCAACTTGCAAATAGAAAAATGACTGTACAAATAGTTTACATCTTAAATAAGGGAACTGACCTTACCAAATAATTTAATTCCTTAATATTACATTTCAAAATCCTTATTGTCATAGGTAGTATGTATAATACACTTAGGCACTGTTAATAATTTGGGTTTGATTTTAGCTGTTTGCTGCAGTTTATTGTGTGCTATTTTGTATTTGATGACTGAATTATCAAGAAATAATAGAATTATATAACATGAGGGTAGGGACAGGAGAGAGAAAATGGGAAGAACAGAGGAAGAGGTGACATTAAGAAGCATTATAGTTATAAACTGACTTATGGAATTGTAACTCCTTTGTACAACTATTTAATAATAAATAAATAAATTTTTTTCTAAAAGTTTCAAAAGTTACCCTCCTATAAATAACTTCAAAACTTAAATGTAAGAATAGAAACAAAGTACTTGAGAATAATAAAAAAGCATGGATGAATTAAAAGCCCAGATTAAATAACTTGTTATATAATGTTACATGATGCTACCTTCTTCACAATGAAGTAGCTTAGAGGTATCAAATTCTCCTTAGAAGAATATTGTGTTTTATGTTTCTAAAAGATCATCTATTTATCACAGAAACAATCAAACGTAGAAAGTAGTATATACGTACAATCTCTACTTCCATGTTGAACTGTGTTGCAAAGATAGCCACTCCTGGTGCTACAGGGAAGACCCCATACAAAAATGCATAATTCGATAAACTTGTATGGTTCACTACACTGTCACCTTTGTCCAAGAGTTCCACCATTTCTCTGCACAGAAGTGGCAGCACCAGGCTGAAGAAAAAAAAATGTATAATTTACTTGGTGTTAAAGCATTCTTGTCCCTAAGTAGTAGATTGCTATAATGAATAACATTCTGTTTTCCTTCTCTTGCCCAAAGTGTATATATATATGAGAAATATATATATATATATGAGAAATATATATATATATATTTGCATGTAGATATTCTGCATATGACTGTGCCTCTGGACACTTTGTTGAAAGAATTAAGAACTCAGTTGGGAACCACTTCAAATGTAACAACATTCAGGAACTAGAAGGGGAAAATTTAGATTAAAAAATTTACAGTTAATAACAATGCCTCTCAATAAAATTCTCCAAAAACAGTAGAAAAATATAATACAATTAGTTCTTTGTGAATTAAAAGCAAGATTTAGTAAAAGAAACAAAACAATGAGGTAGAACAAAAATGAGAAATGTAAATTTGCAGAGTCAATTATTAAATTCTTCATGATTCCATGGGTGTAACACTAAATAGCTAAACTAATGGACCCTCTTTTAAAAACAAAACAATTTGGTTGATAATATTTCCTGGCAGCAGCTGTAAAGAAGCTCAGGATGGAGTAAAGAACTACTTTTATACGTGCATTTTTTATTAAAAAAGAAATTAATGTCTATAAAAATCAAAGATTCAGGGGAAAAAAATCTTAGCAGTACCAGGGATTGAACTCAGGATTTGTTCTACTGATTGAATCTACTGTACAAGCACGCTAACAATTCAGCAATGTCTTCATTTCAGAAAAAAATTAATTGGAATACTTATAAATTGAAGCTGATAATACTCTTATTGTTATAAATTTTTTACGATGGCAGCACTAATTAATATTTTTTTCTAAGAAACATAGCATCATCATAAATAATTTTCAAAACTTAAGTTGATTCTTACTTTAGAAACATAAATACAAATCATACTGAGTTTAACTACATGAATTTAACTGTTTATTCAAGAGCTGAATTCTATAGCTAAGTATGTCTCAAGTACTTTGGGTTAACACCATAATAAAATTATGTCAATTGTGCCATGAAGAATAAATCTAGAGCAAATGAGCCAAGTCAGCTGAAGTATTATTAACAGGGGAGCTAAAAAGAATTTATTATTTGCCAGACTAGAATCTGATCTCTAATGATACTCATATTGACTTGCCTATACTTTTAGAAAGCTCAGCCACTCAGATATTTGAAGAAGAGTTTATATTAAAATTATTACTCATAAATGAAAATGCTTTTAACTTTAGGATTTTAATGGATTTTGGAATCCCGAGAAATTCTTTTAAAAATATGACCTGGGGTGCTGGGCACCAGTGGCTCATGCCTGTAATTCTAGCTACTTAGGAGGCTGAGAATACGGGATAGGAGTTGATAGCCAACCCAGGCAGGAAAGTCTGTAGACTTATGTCCAATTAACCACTCAGACAAAAGTGGAGCTGTGGCTCACATGGTAGAGCTCTAAGCTTTAGCAAAAAAGAAATGAGGGACAGTACCCAGGCCTTGAGTTCAAGTCCCATGACCAGCATACATACACATAAAAATGACCAAGGGAGGGCTGGGAAGGTGGCTCAGTGGTAGAGCACTTGCCTTGCATGCTCAAGGCCCTGGGTTCGATTCCTCAGCACCACATAAGAAAAAAACCGGAAGTGGCGCTGTGGCTCAAGTGGCAGAGTGCTAGCCTTGAGCTGAAGAGCTGAGGGACAGCACCCAGGCCCAGAGTTCAGGCCCCACAACTGGACCCCCCCCAAAAAAAAAAAGAATGAAAAATGACCAAGGGAATGAGGATGTAGCTCAGTGGTAGAGTGATTACCTAGCATGTGCAAAGCCTGAGTCTGATCCCCAACCTTGCATAAAAAGATAAATAAGTAGATAAGGAAATAAGTAAGAGATTTAACTGGGACAGTAGGAGATTATTAAGTATACTTTATATAAAAGGTAAAAATAAAAAAGTTGAAGGTATCTGGGTGGTAGTTCATATGTATGTAATCTTAGTTATTCAAGAGGCTGAGATCTAAGAATCACAGTTCAAAGTCAGCCTGGGCAGGAAAGGCCATGCGATTCTTATCTCCAATTAACCACCTAAAAACTAGAATTAGAGCTGTGGCTCAAAGTGGTAGAGCTAGCCTTGAGCAAAAAATTTCCGGGACAGCACCCTGAGTTCAAGCCCCATGACTGATTAAAAAAAATCTGACAGTACACTAGTATTCTATAATCTTGATAGTAAAAGGAAAGAATAATCTACATGGACAAAGAAATGATTTTTTTTAACCATACACCAATATCTCATTTTCCTTTAAATCACAACCTCTCTATAGGGAAAGATTAATTTTCAGTTGCAGACATATCCCAATAAGTTGGCTAAACAAGGATTTTATAAAGTACAATTTTCCAGGTTGAATAAGCAAAACTTACAGTTTAGCTGTGATGAGAAGAGTTAATACAACAAATGCTGATTTCTTCAATCTCCTTAATTTTCCTACCATTGTAAGACCAAGATAAAATAGGGCTGATCCAGAAAAAGAATTTGCAAGTCCATCAAGAAAATTTTCCATATATACAGGCACCTTTTTATCAAGAATAAAATTGAAAGCAATGCCAATGAAGACCATAAATACTATTGGGTTCTGTAACACACGTAGAAATCCAAGTCCCACAATTTTTACTTTGTTTTGTGAAGCATTTTGATTTTCTTTAGATTTCTGGATTTCACAGAAGATAAACCCTATAGGGTTTAGCATCATAAGAGATATTGGTGCCACCAAATAAATGTACTGAAGATATTCTGGGTATGTAGTTTGATACAAAGCTTCAACTGCAAGATAAGAATTGAAATTAATTTAAAAAGATTACACAGAAATATATAATATGTATATAACATTTTCTCTGCATAATTATAACATATTGCAAATTAATCTCAATAGTACTAATAATCTCACTATTAGTAACAAAACTGAGAAGGAAATAAAAACTTACTATATTAAATCTTATCTAGTTTATAAAATGATAACTTTAAAAATTATCTTTTGTAGAATCTAATTTGTGGTAGGGCGCTGGTGGCTCGTGCATGTAATCCTACCTACTCAGGAGGCTGAGATCTGAGGATCGAGGTTCAAACCCAGCCCAGGCAGGAAAATCTGTGAGACTCTTATCTCCACTTAATTACCAGAAAACCGGAAGTGGCGCTGTGGCTCAAGTAGTACAGAGCTCACCTTGAGCTGAAGAGCTGAGGGACAGAGCCCAGGCCCAGAATTCAAGCCCCATGACTGACAAAACAAAACAAAACAAAAAATATCCCCCCAAACCCACCTAATTGTAGAGGCTAAGATTAGTCTTCAAAAAGAAGGGAAGAATTGTAAAATTTTGAAAAAAGCAATTCAAAATAAAAGTCTAGTAAATAATAAACTAAGCATTTAAGTAGAATGAACATCAAAGTGGTGTCCACACTGTATAGGAATAGACATGAAGATGGAAGATAGCTTACAGAAAGGAGAAAGGTAAGAGACTAGAGACTCTTATGAACTATAAGAATTCAGTACAGTTGCGAGTTTAGGTGTTAAGAATTAGTCAGTGAGCTACTGAATTATGTATTTTTCCTGATGACTAGGCTGAGGACATGGTCTTGTAAAATTGTGGCTGAAAGGAAGTAAAGACATCACTGGAGATGAAGAGACTAAGGAACTGAAAGGTCAGAGAATTGCTGGATAATTGATAAGGATGCTAAAAGTCAAACAAGAGAATGGCAAAGCCAGACCTTAAAGTCTGTAATGAATAAAAGGGAATGACTACAATCCCAGTATATAACAGAAATAATCAGCCAACTAGCAAATCGGTACAACATTCAAAATAGTTGTTAACAAAAGAGTACAGAGTAATAGCCTAGAGTAGTACAAGGACGCGAGGAGGATTAGGAGGCCTGTCTTAACTCCCTTTGTGCATATGGTATATAGGCTATAGGTAAGAAAAGCCTCGGGGCTGGGAAGGTGGCTCAGTGGTAGAGCGCTTGCCTTGCATGTATGAGGCCCTGGGTTTGATTACTCAGCACCACATAAACAGAAAAAAAAAGCCAGAGGTGGTGGTATGGCTCAAGTGGTAGCATGCTAGCCTTGAGCTGAAGAGCTGAGGGACAGCACCCAAGCCCAGAGTTCAGGCCCCATGACCGGAACCCCCCCCAAAAAACAAAAAAAACTGGAGGAGAAAAGAATGGAGTCACATAAAGGTGTATCTAATGCAAATTCAACTATACTTTCTAAGGAACACACAAACTTCATTTTGTTTTTCTTAGAATTTTCCCAAGTACAAACTCATTGTTCTCCTGTTCATTGAGGAACAATGCTTGAGAGAAAAATATGTGTTAGATTTTGAGAAATGGTATAACATAAGGTATATATGCTGTATTATATGGGTGATGTAAGAGACTTTTCAAGCATGTGAAGAGCACATGATGGCTTTAGAATCTAATGACTGCACAAGATGTGTTTGCCAGGCTGGCACTTTTTTCTGCTAAGGGCCATTCAGATAATGTCATTTGAAGGCAATACAAAATTATCAATACAAAGCAACTGCCATGGGTGGCTAATGAAAAATTACGTCAATTCTGTATAAAAATAAATGTTTTTTTTGGGGGGGGTCAGGTCATGGGGCTTGAACTCTGGGGCCTGGGTGCTGTCCCACTTCTGGCTTTTTTCTTTTTGCTTATGTGGTGCTGAGGAATGGAACCCAGGGCCTCAGGCATGCAAGGCAAGCGTTCTACCACTGAGCCACCTTCCCAGCCCAATCAAATGATTTTTAAGGGCCAGATATTTTCCACCTGTAAAGGGAAGTGTGTTAAATTAAACTTCTAGTAGTTACCTGGTGGAGATTAAGGTGGATTGCTAGGTTAAGGGCGCACAGCAACTTACAGCTATGGAATAAACAACTTGGTTTCTAGGCATGTTTTTGGACATGGGTCCCGAAATTACACAATCCAAAGCACACAAAAGTTGATTCATAACTGATTTGAAGTTGACAAAGATAAAAGGTGAACTGCCACAAGTGATTCCAAGGAGAGACTCAATCATGTGAAAAAAGGTAAATATTAGGTTTCTCAATTTACATTGAGACAAAGTGATATAGGTAGGAAAATGGTTGTTTACTTACTAGGATACATAAGTAGAGTTAATGTCATCCACGTGACATGCTAACATTGCATAACCAGATTATATAACCTTTAGAAGTTCACCTGAATCTCATTAGCCAAATCTACTTTTATAAGGTCATATTTTTTCGAATGAAGCACATATGTAGGTCTATAATATCACAAAATAAAGCAGAAGTTAAAACGTATTTGATTACATAAAATTTCATGAATTCTTTTAACTGATTTCTAAATTAGATATGCTAGTTTTATACCTCTTAATAGTTTTCTTTCATGTTTCTTAAGATTTGTTTAAATTAAAATCAGTGCTCTTGTCAATTATTCCCAGATGCTACCCTTCTGATTGGATCTTCCTTCTCTAAGATAAAGCTGTCCATACCTGCTTACCACTTAATTTCAGAGTATTTATTTTAAAAATGTCTTGTGTTTTCCATTTGGTTTCAAGAATGTTTCCTCAGTGGTTTCACTATGATACAAAGGTTTGTTTTGACAACTTACAGCTGCAGTTCTGTTTTCTAATCAGAGTCCCTAATATTAATGTCCTTTCCAGTAATCTACTTTCCTGGCACATTAGTAATCATCACTTCATAATAGATTCTCCGTTTTTAAAAGAGCTCAATATAAACTAGGACATCAGTTTTTATTCTTTAGTCCTCCCTTATCTTTGGTTTTACTTTCCATAAGTTCAGTTACCTAAAGTCAACAAGAAGGATCAATGTTGTACAATGAAATACTATTAGCTATTGGTGATCTCACATTGTGCCTAATTTATAAATTAAACCATATCAGTTATGTACATATGTATATATAAGACAAAACCATGTGTCTAGTGTTCATCCCTGTCCATTGGAGATCTTGTAATATAGTCCTGGCAGATAAGAGAATTACTATAATTAACCTCTTTTGCAGGATGTATTTGTGTTTTTTCCTTTTGATTCCTTCTATTGTTATAAGATTAAAAAGTCTCAAAATTAGATCATTTAATGTGTTCACTAAACTGTGTTCTTCTGGGTTTTCTCAACCACCTCCTTAATCCATTTTAGCTACTGCTAATAGTAACTAAAAAGTCATTATCTTCCAAAAGTTAACTTTTTCCCAGAGTTATAAATCGCTCCCCCATCCCTTTTTTTGAACAAAGCCAGCCTTCACAATTGGCCTTTTACTTATCCAACCCATCCTTTATTACTCCATAATGCAAAGACTCCATCTGCTGTTAATTTCATAGTCACACCAAACACCATGCTCACAACTACTAGATTATGAGCAGATCTTATCATCACCTTCTATTTTTGGAATCTTTTCTTACTTATCTGAATGTGCCTACTACATAAGGCAAGTTTCTTTCTCATAGTTCTTGTTTCACCAAATCTTCAATCTGCTTCATTAATCTCTCCTTCTCTGGAATGCTAGGTTACTTTGTGTTATATTAGTACTCTTAAAGAAATTCTAAACTCCTTGAAGGCTTAGTTTTATATTTTAGCATTGTGCTGGGAAAAATCAGAAAATACTTGCTGAATAGAATTAACTAACCGATTGGCACACGCACACGCACACACACACATACATGACTTGTTTGTTTTTAAAGTGCACATTATAGAATGGGAAAAATCAACTTTACTAACATTAATTTCCTCACATTCTCATCACTTTCTTGTGTTGAGAATAAGTATAATCTACTTTTAGCAGTTTTCAAGAGTATAAGACATTGTTACTAACTGTAATCCTCAGATCTTTTGACCTTACTTCTCCTAACTGAAATTTTGTATTTTATTTTTTACTTTTCTACACATTCTGAATATTTATAGGACAGAATGCAATTGTAGTCTTTTAACTTAGCTGAACAAGTATACAAAGGCAAAAGAAATGTAGTCTATTGGGAGAGCAAATAACTATGATTAAATAAATACTTGTAAAATTACTGAAGAACAGGATCCAACACAAGAATTTTAGTCTATTTCTGCCATTCATTTGCATAATTACTTAACATTACATCTTTATCTATACATTGACAATGCTTTTTTGTTATCAATCTGAAGCTAGCTTTTCAAATTTGAAAATACACGAATACAGTGATCTATATAAGTAAAATTAGATTTATAATCATTACATCTACTATTAAGTTCTAATTAATTAATGATTATAAATAAGGCTCTTGAAGGGAGGGGAAATCCCATTATAAGGAGTTATTATATAGCTTTGAGGAGCTAAGAGATAAAATTAACCTCCCACTGTGACTCCTATTTTGATTCCTGCAGGGTTTCAATCTCTAGCAAATAACACAAAGACCCCGACAAGATCATTCTATTATTTAATGGCATATAGTTAAATGCTTCATTTCCTTTCTGTTTACAGTTCAAGCACTAGAGCATAATTATGATTAGTCAGGGCACTTATGCTATCAGCATTGTTTGAAGAATAAATTATAGGACTTAACTATGCCCTATTAGTATCTTTTAATGACAGAGGCAGGGATCCATTCTGATTTGCTGAAATCAACATTTCACTGTGGCAGATTTTTGCACTTTCATTTTTCAAAATATCTTTGAAAAGAATTATTCTAAAATATAGCGAGCTCTTTTTAGCCTATGGTAATGTATTACTCTGTCATCTGAGTAAAGATAAATCACTTCAATGTACTTTTATAGACCATTGTAATTGGTCTAATTTCTTTTTCCTTTTCTTTCTTCCTTCCTTCAGACTGAGGATTGAACCCATGGTCTTGAGTATGGTAGGCAAGTGATATACCACTTAGTGACATTGCCAGACCCAAATACATTCTTAAAAAGGACATTTATTATAACCTATCATTGATGTTCCTCTGTAAGCAAGATTCTGGCTTCCTGGGAGAGGCTGTGAAATAAACACAAAGAAAGGAATTCTCTCTAGCTACAGAGTTTTCTGTTCATTCTGTACAAAGATGGGTACAGATAGCAATAATAAATAAGTTTACTAGGAACTGCTATTCAGGCATTCAGTTCTGTACCATACCTTCCAATTTCCAGCTATCTGAGAAAGTTGTTTATATTACTGTTTTTAGTAACATTGGCGTCTACAACCTGATATTTGCAAGAGTTCTTATTCCTTGTGAGTAAAAACAAACAACAAAGATTATAACCCAAAATGACAAACATACTCCGGGAAAATTAGGTTAGCATACCACTAGGAATATTATTACCAGATTCACCAATATAATATGAGATATAAGAAAAATAGTGGCTAAGAAGCATTGGCTGTAATTCTGGCTATCATTAGGCTGAGATATGAGGATCATGGTTCAAAGCCAGCTCAGGCAGGAAAAGACCATGAGACTCCTATCTCCAGATAACCACCAAAAATCCCAAAGTAGAGCTGTGGCTTATGTAGAGCCACTAGCCTTGAGAAAAAAGCTCAAGCCCCAGAATACACACACACACACACACATGCATACACACATTCGCATGCACACCCATAGATAGTGATGAACCAGATGCTGGTGGCTGATACCTGTAATCCTACTCAAGGCCATCTGGAGCAGAAAAGTCCAAAAGACTCCATTTTCAAAATAACCAGCCATTAAGCCAGATTGAAGGTGTTACTCAAGTGGAAGAACACCAGCAGTATGAAGCCTTGAGTTTAAACCCCAGCACTAGAAAAAAAAAAAAAAAAAAAAAAAAAACCACAAAAAAGTGATAAAAATATCTGATTATATAATTTTTATTTGGAAATTCTTTTTTGTTATGAAAATGAACTTACCTAGATATTTTCCTACTATAGTTCACTTTATGGAATATTGTTAGAATACTGCAAGGCCGAAGTGTTTTTATTCTGCCTGAAACTACTGTATTACAAGGGCGAGTTGGGTATTCTAAGATCACTCAGCATGTTATATAACTGTGGCATAAGAGAGTGCCCAGGATTTAGAACAAGAAAACCTATTAGTTGTAAAATCTTGGATAAGACAACCTTTGAAAATGAGGGTAATAATATCTGCCCTATTCAAGTAAGGTAAGTATATAAGAAAGTATTTTGTAAACTATAAAGTTACAAATGTTAGTTCTATTTAGAGATAAGTATATAAGAAAGTATTTGGTAAACTATAAGGTTACAAATGTTCGTTCTATTTAGTTAGGAGCTTACTGAGCTGGAAACAACAAATACATGGCCCTAGTACCATCACACCCTAAAGTCTATAGTTAAGAATGAACCAGTCTATGAGAGCATCACAATATACTTCTAGCTTATGTCTAAAGTAAGATATAACAATATGGAATATTTAATGCTGTGGTACTGAGCACATCTCCTTAAACTACAAACACAGTGGCCAATCTACATGATTAATTCTCTTGAAGAAATAGACAAACATACAAACTCTTTATTCTCTTACTTCCCAAAGTCTTTATTTCATCTTAAAATTTAGTAACCTTAAAGGAACACATACTACTTTCTTATTATTCATAGCTTAGTTACCTAATAGCATAGATTGTATTTTCCATCTTAAGCTTCTTGCTTTACTTATCAGTTATCGGAATTCTTTGGCATTTTTCTCTTTCTGTTAAGCAAGGTAGTGGAAGGTCAAAGGTGGACAAAAGCAAAAGGTATAGTTCACTGGAATATTTTTGGTGCCAGTGGTGAAGTAAATTAGGAGGTGGGAGAAGAAGATAAAACTACTAAAAAAGAAACTTGAAGAGGGCGCAGGGCACAAATGGTAGAGTACCCACCTAGCAAGCATGAGAGCCTGAGTTTCAACCCTAGAACTGCCAAAAAAAATGAAGAAGGAAGAATATAAGCAAGTTAGTTAGTTGAAAGTTAATGGTAGATTTGAATTGTCAATTCAATATTCCACTCAAGCCTGCACAGAAGAGATGCATCATCAGAGAGGTCTTAAGTAACCACACTACCTCAATTAGCATCTCTTCATTCCTCTACACTATTTACTTTTATGGCCCTTGTTACCATCCATTTGGATTTTAATTTTAATTTTATTATTTGGCCCATGAAAATGTAAATTCACTGTGTAAGAGTTTTGTTCACAGAAGTATTCTCAGTAGCTGGCTCAGTCACTGGTAGAGAACAATTTCCTGTAAGTGAATGAATAAATATATCCAGAACAGTCAGGTCTTCACATGATAATGCATGACCAAAAAAACACATAACTGTAATTTTAAAATATAAAAATTAGTTACTAGATATATATTTTCTTTACAAAAGAGTGTCCTGAAAAGTACAATGTTTCTCTTTAGGAAATTCCAACATTACACATTGTTGAAAAATATATATTCATAGAAATGAAATTAGGCTGCTTAAAGTGCTGGAAAGGCAAAAATGTCTTCATTGTTTTTTTTTTGGTTAGTGATCAAAATTTATTATTAATTAATTAATTTTTGATTGTGGGGCTTGAAATCTGGGCCTGGGTGCTATCTCTGAGCTCTTCAGCTAAAGGCGAGTGCTCTACCACTTGAGCTACAGAACCATTTCTGGTTTTCTGGTGGTTAATTGGAGATAAGTCTCACAGACTTTCCTGGCTTTGAACTGCAATCCTCAGATTCCAGCCTCCTGAGTAGCTAGGATTACAGGCATGAGCCACTGGCACCTGGCTCAAAATTTATTTTTAAATAAGAACTATGTGTCTTAGAGCAGTTTTAGATTCACAAAATCATGGACTTCTTTTGCTTCTGTACCTACATGGCTTCAACCATTATCAACATTCTCCATCAGAAGAGGGCATTTATCACAACTGATGTGCCTACACTGACACATCATTATTATCCAAAGTCCATCATTATTACCCAAAACCCACACATTAGGGGTTTTATACATTCTATGGATTTAAACAAATATATAATGACTTGTATCCACCATTACAGTGCCATGCAGAGTATTTCCACTGCCTTGACATTTCTGTGCTCTATCTATTCAACCATCTCTCTCCTCTAATGTTTGGCATATACTAGACTATGTAGTATGCAACTTTCAGATTGTCTTCTTTTGCATATACTATTTCTTCATTATGATTTTGTTCTTAAACAAGAATTTAACTTCAACCAAAACTTATATTTGTTATCTCCTAAAACACTAGCATTGTTTAGAAACTTGAAAATTAAACAAAAAAAAAACTTACCTATAGGGTATCCCAATGCAAAGTCATTACTTTGTGTAGCAAAAATAGGGAATAGTCCAGCTTTGCTAAATCGACTCTCAGGACTGGCAACCAATAAGGTTAAAATACATACAATGAAAAATACAGAAGCTTTGCCAATTAAGATACTATATAAAAAAGCCCAATCCACATTGGAAAAATTAAGTACGACCATGTTTTTAAATAATAAAGCTGGTAGTGCAAATCTGGAAACAAAATTTCCCAGTCCTTTGGCCTGGGTTGATGTTATAACATTAGCCCTTCCTGCTATATAGCCACAAAGTACTATGCCAAAGCATTCTAGCAAAGCTGGGAAAAGCCTTGTTATTGACATTGAAGGCGAGTCATTAGTGGAATTCAATCCATATGTTACTGTTGTAGACAAATTATTGGTCATATTGACTATAATCGTTGAGTTCTCTGCAGATAAATTAGGAAAAGAATCCATTGGCTTTTTTTTTTTTACTTCCAATTCCAACCAGATTTCTAGAAAGAGAAAGAGAAAGTGTCAGTGTGACAATCAATAACAACAGGTCTAGCTGAAAGTAAACACTGAAATCTACATTTATTTACAGGTTACATGGCCAAATAAACATCTGCACTTTCTTCAACTACCACCAGGGAAAAATACAATGGAAAAAATTAGTGAAGTGATGTTACCAACAGCTTCTTTCCTCTGAAAGACAGGCCAGTTCAAATATTTATGCTGTGATTCAACAGTTAAATGATAGACATGGGTAAGATAAGGTCCACAGACATTATGGCTGCAGTGATACTCTGTTCTTCTGCGTGATCCACCATTGAGCTCAGGAGCAGAGACTCAGAGTCTGCTGAGTATCCACCCCTGCATCCAGTGCCTCTGGAAATTTCATAAGTTTTCAGGGCTACATTAACAAGTCACACTGGAGCCACAGGGTCCCTTCTAGCCTGTGTTCATCTGGAGTGTAAGAAAAAATACAATAGGGTATCACATCACCTCTGAACCAATAATTTTAGTTTTCTTATGCTTAGAATTCTTCATCTAATAGTAATATTAGTGCTTTTTTCATAGAAACTTTTGACATTATTCAAGTAAAGTTCTTATAATTGAATCACATCTGGCACACAGTAATGATTTAAAGAAAGCCAAACACAACCTTTGGTAGAATGTAAGAAAGCCTTGAAAGAAAAAAAAATGATGGTATTCCAGCACCTTCCTCTTAGCATACAAACAGAGTCTCATTATGCCAATAGGAATTTTTAATATACAATTCACTCCAAAATGGTTTCTACTTAATTATTACTCCTTCACATGCTTAACCCTTCTTCATCCTCCAAAGTCAATTATATAGTTCAGGGTTGTTTTGTCTCTTCTAGCTCCATAGCTTCTCTAGTTCCATAGCTATGCCACGATTCTTTTTCAAACAGAATCATGATCTTTACCTTTGGGCCACTTTTCTACTCAATTGTACTATGCATTAGAGTGATTTGATGTACTACTATATCATTCTCTAGACTGTATATATCCCAGAAGCAAAGACTATGAATGGTTTTTGCTCACTGTTGTGTCCCTAACATCTAGCATAGTATGCAAAAGACAATAGAAAAAACTTTCCTAATGAATTATAAAATAATAACTGCACTTAAATAAATCTCCTGGCCTTTCGTGGATCAATGTTCTCATTCAGGCACTACCTAGTTCATGGATTGACTATATTTCTGAATGACAAGCTTTTTCACTATAGCAACAAGTTCAAGAACACCAAATGTGGGGCTGGGAAGGTGGCTCAGTGGTAGAGTGCTTGCCTTGCATGCATGAGGCTCTGGGTTCAATTCCTCAGCACCACATACACAGAAAAAGCTAGAAGTGGGTGCTATGGCTCAAGTAGTAGAGTGCTAGCCTTGAGCTGAAGAGCTCAGAACAGTGCCCAGGCCCAGAGTTCAAGCTCTACAACCAGCAAAAAAAAAAAAAAAAGAACACCAAATCACCAAATGTGCTCTAAAATGTTCTAAAGATGTTCAGAAAATGTTAAAGAACACAAATTATGTGGCAAATGTTCTAAAGATGTTCAGGAAATACTGAAGAACAAATTCTGTATGCTACTGAGACAATAACTATCAGACTCTAGCTGCCAGGAACACAATGAACACAAGGCTTGGACACCTCTAAATTAATCAGCTCTTATTAGTAAGTTGAAATTAATATGACAATTGTCCATTTGAATAATTATATTCTGAGTTTACCATCTCAAGTGGCTTTATATAAGGTAGAAAGTAAAAACATTTGTGCTTCCTGAAATGTACAATACCAGGTTGAGTTCTCAGAAACCCACATCATACTAAAAAGACTCAGATGGCAGGCCAAATATCATCAACTAATCCATGGAGGTGTGAGAGAATATTCTCTATGCTTCCCTTGCATAAACTAAGCCACTTAAAAAAAACTTTGTATTTAATCTGGATTAGGAAAAATATTTTTCTACCTGTATTAGATAGGAGCAGTCAGTATAAACAAAACCCGCAGTTTACAAAACAACCATCAAATTATGTCCTGGGAAAGCTACTAGTTGATACAAATACCTAGACTTGAAAGAGCTGATAAACAATTAAAGGAAGATATTAAGCACTTCGAGCACTGAAGGATTGGGTACTTGGAATATATTGGTAAAGATGAAGGTAATAAATGAATCTGGCTTTTGGCTGCTCTTTAAAAAATTCTTGTATTTCTTTGCTTGAAATTATTATTCATAGTGAAGCCTCTTATTTAAACTGCATAGGCATAACAACGTAGCCCAATATATATATATATATATATATATATATATATATATATATTTTGGTCGGTCATGGGGCCTGAACTCTGGGCCTGGGCACGGTCCCTCAGCTCTTCAGTTCAAGGCTAGCCCTCTGCCACTTAAGCCACGGCACCACTTCCGGCTTTTTATGCTTATGTGGTGCTGAGGAATTGAACCCAGGGCCTCATGCATGCAAGGCAAGCACTCTACCACTGAGCTACCTTCCCAGCCCTCCAATAATTTTTTAAACCAACAGTTTTAACTAAACTTGTAGTAGTTCAGTGAAAAGAATATAACAGATTCTTAGCCTTAAGTCCTTGGGTCACTTCTTTGCCTCCTTAAACCTCAGTTTCCTCAACTTTGAAAGAAGTATAACAACCTCCTTACTATTATGTGGAATGGATTTATGTGTAGCTTATTACAAAGTAGACCTGTAGAAAGTGGTAGCAGTTACTATTAGAACTATTAGTCCTGATGATAATGACAAGAATGGTAACAAAGCAAATAAGATTCACTATCTTTTTATTGTTCTCCAGACTTCCTTGGCATTCAGAATTCTCCAACAGATATAAAGGAACAAGCTGTGCCATACTGTTGACCATTTCTGTTTCACACCAACCAATGAAGAAAAGTTGAATTCAGTTGGATCTTAAATGGTTGTTGGCAGTGAAGGAAGAGCTCTTCATTTTTTTCTCGAGATGATTGTCAAAAAGGTGCAGCAATGTCCAGGTTTACTTTTCAATTAATTGAAAATTAAAAGAGCAACTTTTGAAAGTAACCTGTCCCTCTCCAGGTTTCTTTTTCATGTGTTCAGTACATCTACTAGGTAAAGGAGTCAAAATAATAAAAAATGACTTCTAAAGTTTTATCTACTCCTTTGATAAACATGAACAAAATTATGCTTCCTACAGCATATTTTTAAATGCACAGGAACCACAACAAAGAAAGTTAAAAGTGCATCCAGTCTCTTTATCTATAAAACAAGGCTTATTGCATAATAAACAAGTTGGTCTGTCACAGTAAAAGTCGGGTCCCTGGGGTATATAATGTATACAGATCATTTGGGCACTTCACAGTCGGTCGGCTTAGGGGACATGTCAACAAATCACTAAAATAGTAACTATTATGAAATGAATGTGTGGGGAGGAGGTGTTAACTTTAATAAGAAAGCTTTAAATTCGTAGGTAGGCTGTCCATTTTCCCCCAAACACTTGATGTCCTTTAATCCCGTGGGAAAAGCCCAATACACTGTGGCACTATTAAAACCCTCTCCAACATCAACAGTCACCCCATTCATTCACTCCCACTTATTTGCAGGGGACCAAATGTCCTCCCTAGAGATTCATGATGGGAGCGCTGAGCACAGCCTTTCCCCTTATCTACAGGGACAGACTTTGGCCCTCTAAGAGAAGGAATGAGGGGGAGTCCCTATCCTAGTAAGAACGCAGTTGCCATACAAGCCCGGGAAGGCCAGAGTCAAGTGGAAAGGCAGCCTGGGCTCGGAACAAGGTAGCTGGTCCCCTTCCAGCCCCCAGGAGTCCCAACGTAGGGTGACTAACCTGATCCGAAAAGGGGGAAGGAGGGAGAAATTTTGCTGGACGCGCCAGTACCTGAGCAGCGGCTGTGGGCACGGGCAGATACTGAAGCCCTTCTGGCGCTCCAGTGACGAGTCCCAGGATGACAGGGTGGGCGCTCCCCGCACTGGGGCGCATCCGGCCCCCGGAGGGGCACAAGCCTTCCCCGGGGGTCCCTGCGTCCCCCGGGAGAGGGCTTCAGGCCCCCGGTGGGCGGGCGCGGGCGGCGGGCCTGAGCTGCCGGGCGCCGGCGAGCTGCCCACCTGCCCGGACCCGAAGGGCGGGCGTGGGGGTTTACCACGGCCGCTAGGCCGAGTCCGGACCCCGGAGGTCCTCGCCCCGGGAATCTCTCTCACCTGCTACGTCTGCAACCCTGGAACCGCCAGGAGAAGGGAGCAGGTGCTCTTCGAGGGCCAAACAGCGGGGAAATCCCGGTCATCTCCTGCCCATCGCCCTCTTCTCCGAGCGCGCCGGGCGCGGGTTGCAGCAGCCCGGGCACGTTCGGAGAATGCGAGCTGGGCAAGCCGCTGCGGCCCTGTCAGCTCCGTCCCGCCCCTGCTGCTGTCTCGGAGCCCGCTCCACCTCCAGGCCCCGCCCACAGGCCTCGCTCGGGCTGGCCTCGAGGCCTAAACTACTTAGCCTATGCCCCGCCTGCAGGCCCCGCCCACAACCCTCGAGCCGCACATCCCCGCCCCGCTCTCAGACTCCGCCCCTGACCTAAGACTCTCGCGTACCGCCCATTCTCAGTAATTCCCCGCCCTCAAGCCCCGCCTCCAGTCTAAGATGCGTAACACGTGACCCTGCCCTCAGACCACGCCCCATCGTCGGGCACTGCCCAGAAGCTACCCCCCTCTCCCCCCCTCAGCGCGGGACTTCCGGCCCACTGCCCCCCTCCTCCTGCTACCGCAAGATGGCGGGGTTTCTAGGCTTCCCTTCCAATTCCTTGACTCAGGCTCAGGTCCCTCAACCTTCTGTTTAATCTTCAGCCTGGAGTGACCTGCCAGTCCTCTCCTGGTTAGTTTCGTCTTTGCCCAGGAGCGAGGGTAAAAGAAGCTGAACTGGGTCGAATCCTGCCTCCCACCTTGACCTCAGTGGTGTGACCTTGACTTTGTAAATCAAAAGATTATAAAGGGTAAAGCTTTAGTTCAGTACCAGATCTGGGTTTAGAGTAAGGGCTGTGTGGGTGATGGCTTGTATTTCTATTGTGGGGAAGACCGCGGGGATATCCCCACACCATTCTTAGAGGAATCCGTATTTGGTGGAAGACTTCCAGAACTTCCTGCAATGAAGAGATCCCATATACAGTGCCCCGCTTTGACAACTGAAGCAGCGCTGTAATTAGCCTTCTGGAATAAAAATGATTTCAAATTTAAATGTTTATAGCCTGATCCCACTTAGTATCTCTACAAGCACTTTTTTTTTTTAAAAATCTTGCTTTGTGCTTTTAACTGTTCTGCCTGGCAACTATAATGTCTTTCTATTATCTTGGCATTTTCAGTGAAGATGCAAAACTATATGGCTTACTGAGAAAAATCACAGTAAGCTAAATCGCAGCTAAGGATAGGCTAAAGGATATGAAAATTAGCAAGAGAAAAGGAGAACTGAAACTATAGAAAAAAGCATACATCTTATTCCTGATTGCTTGATTATTCACTTTTAATGGTTTTGTTTCCCTTGAACCTGAGTTAAAAAAAAAAAGTTCTGAGCATCTCAGTTATCTCTAGGCTAAACAGAAAATAGGAAGATTAACTCAAGAACTTAGTGAGCTTTGACTTATAGAGGACTACTGGAAGGTAAGAAAGTTAAGTTAGGGTCAACCTGTAAGAAGTTCCTTTAGTTAGTTTGGACCTTATCCCTTGGCCACAGTAAAACCATTACATTCCCATTCATCCCCCCCCCCCCAAACACCCAGGAGGAACATGTCATAATGATCAGAGTGTCTTTGGATGTGTGATCTGGAATCTTTCTTAGGATTAGTTGAGAGACTGAAGGCAGGAAAAAGAGTATGATGACTTTGGAAAGAAGGCATAAGGAAATGAAGACCTACTCTGGATTGATGGCAGTGAAAATGTGGCATCAGGTTGAGAGATACTACAAAACAGCTGATAGCACTCACTGGCAGGGCTAAAGAAAAGGAGTTGATAAGTGTCTATTTATTTCCCCATCTATTGCAATAAAGAAAAGAAGTTGGTAGAGAGTTTCTAATATTCTTTCTAGTACTAAAATTCCATTATTTTCTATCATTCTATTACCTGAAGATAAGACAATTATTTCAATAATTTTGTATGGCCTTTGATGATATTATAAATATCCAAATAGCCCTTGGAAGAAATAAAATTCTTACCCCTGTAAACAACTATGATATAGTTCTTTTATAGTAACTGGATTTCTCATTTACTCCAGCTTTTCAAAAAATTTGGGCTATGTTTATAGCCCAATAACTTTTTCTTATTGTATTAAAAATAATTTCTGATCTGTCAGGATAATTCAATTTTTTCCCTTCCCATCTCCCCCCCAATAATTCAATTTTTGAGCTTTCAGAAATTATCTTTTAATATATGCATATATATGTATGCAGTGCATACTTTTTCCTTCTCCTTTTCATTTTGCTACTGAAAGAGTCACGGAAAGCAGTGTAAAGAAGTGAAACTTTGCCATCTCCCTGGTATTGACATTGTTAATCTTAAGTTTAGCTCAAATATAGTTAAATAGGCATAGGCTTCTGTTTGGGCCAGCACATGAGATGTTAAGCAGAAAAACAATAAAAAAACAGAATTGGGTTATAAAATTACAAATTAAACCAGTGTCTTAGATAAACCAGGGTACAGAAACAAGAAGATAAAGCATGATAGTTTTGGGGGTACAGGTGATCTATTTCATGACTTGTGGTTTTGTTTGGACCATTTGTTTTTGAAAGGTCAAAGATCAGGAACATGAAAATGAAAGAAAAAATACACTTGTTTCTACTCCTAGTTTGTTCATGTAAAAGTAGGCTCTCAAATTTAATTGGCTGTGTGTGTGTGTGTGTGTGTGTGTGTGTGTTATTGTGGACTGAACTCAGGTCCTCACACTATACCACTGAGCTATGTCTCCAGCTCTAATAGGCAATTTTAAAAGAAAAAAAATCCTATAACTGCAGCACATTTTCTAATTTGAATAGTATTTCCATTAAATATGAACCAACATTGTACACTAGAAAGAGGAAGCAGAGAAAAACCTCAGCTTTTAACTTTGACTTTGGAGGAGTCAGATTGAGAGCTATTGAGAGAGAGGAAGCAGGAAGAGGAGGAGGGGAAAAAGGAGGGATGGATACAGCGAGAGGGGGAGGGGAAAAAGGAAGAAGGGAAGGAGAAAGGGAAAAAAAGGAAAGGAGAAAGGGGGGAAGAGAGTAGGAAGATCTTAGATCATCATACCTCAGAAGCATTTTATTTTATTTTATTTTGTTGGTTGTGGGGCCTGAACTCTGAGCCTGGGTGTTGTCCCTCAGCTCTTCAGTTTAAGGCCAGCACTGTACCACTTGAGCCACAACACCACTTCTGGCTTTCCCCCACTGTTTATGTGGTGCTGAGGAACCCAGGGCCTCATGCATGGGAGGCAAGCACTCTACCACTGAGCCACCTTCCCAGCCTCCAGAAGCATTTTAGTAGAGTACTTCGGGGTTTCCAGTCTCCTTCCTGGCTGAAGTGGAAAGTCCCTTCTGAGTACTGATTTCCATTGTATTATTATTGCCTAGACTAGTGCTTAGCATGTAGTAGGCCCTTCATAAATACATGTTGACCTCCTAAGGTTTGAAATTGAGTTTGTAAAGTTTTTAAATTTAGAGAAACAAAAAGGAAACACCTGCACTTTCTTAGCCCACTTCTTTTACTATCAAGTAGTGGAACTGACAGAAAATTGCCTGAACTCAAGTCTCTTTGTAGTAGCAGAGTAACAAGATCATTTTTTTGTAACTGACAGTGGCTAAAGCAGAATAAATGATGAGGAATTTTCATCCATTGTGACATAGGCTGAATATAATAGTGTCCCAATAATTAATTCTATAAATGTCCTTAGAATTAGAAAAGTTTTTGAGGCTTTCTTTTACCCTAATTCTATTCAAGCTCTCCCTAGACTTTTTATAAAAAATTGATAAAAGAAAGAAAACTCATGATTTCTGAACTATAAAAACATTACCCAGGCCTAGTAGCCAACAGGCCTGGTACTTGGTTTACAGACCATTATTGGAAACTAAAGTTGATAAAAGTAAGCTCCTTGATGCAGTTTTAATTGAGGTCTAGGTTTCCATAGCCTATAGCTAATATTGTAGTTAGCTATTTCCTCAAGTATAGTTTAACTCAGACTCTCCAACATAGGCTTATTATGTGTGAATACTTTGGAGACAATGTTTATAGTAATACTAGAAAACTATTTAAAGTGTGTATTTCATATGTTTCCCTAGTAGCTAGTAAAAAAAAAATTCTCTCCTCCTCCCCCTCATCTTCTGCTTCATCCTCGTCCTCCTTCCCTGCCTTCTTTGGATGGTGATATTAGGATTCAACTCAGTGCTCTGTGTTTGCTAGACAGTTACTCTGCCACTTGAACCATGTCCCCCAGCCCCTTTGTTGTCTGTTTGTTTTTCAGGTAGGGTCTCATGGTTTTGCTTACACTAGTCTTAGGTCCAGATCTTTCTACCTCTACTTCTTGAGAGGCTGAGATTACAGACATGCACCACCACACCTGACTGAATTTTATTTGTTTTTAAACCCATTAGGCTTTTGTCAAAACAAAAATTACTATTAAAAGTTCATGCCCTGCTTTGGGGATGTAGATCAGTAGTAAAGCCCATATTTACCATGTGGTGCACAGCATTTGTTCAATTTGATTTGCATGTGTGCTTACTGCAAATAGAAGAAAGAAGATGGGAGTGGAGAGCAGTTGTAAGGACTGAGGACTACAGTTAAGCAGAATTCTCAATTTCAGCCAGGAACCCAAATGTCTGTCCCATTAATTCTCAACCAGGCATTCAGATTGCAACCATGCAGGATTATAATTCCTAAAATTATAGACTCTGGGGTCCCAGGCAGATATTCTAAATCAACAGCAAGATGTGCTTGTCTGTCTCTCCATATATATTTAGATTCTCCATATCAGATTTTTCACATTCTAATGAAAATTCTTGGTTAGGAAATACTCACTTTGGCAATAAACTAGAAATTATCAATCTGTCTTAAGGATAAGCAGAAATATTTGTGTAAGAGGAAGGCAAACATTTTCTAGTCTCAGTGCTCTATGGATGTGTCCTCATTATAGCAAAAAAGCACATTGAACTTGGCATCTTCAGAAATCCATTTCAGTAGCTGTTCCCATTTCTCTTTTGGTTTTTCTTTTGTAGGGAAAAATGAAACAAAGTAAAAGTGATCACTGCCTTCATTTCTTGTAAGTACAAACTCTCTTCACTATGGTGTCATTTTCAAATCCCAGTTAGAAAGTTCATGTTGTGGGTGAAACTGGGTGAAGTAATTTTCTGGCACATTGAAGAATGAAGCCAATACATTGAACACATTGTGGAAAACAGTGCAATCA